CAGGGGCGTGGTGCAGGAGGCTGGTTCGGGTATGAGGGAAAGAAGAAGGTTCTGGAGAGCAAAATGTTTATTTATTTTTTTCTTTTTTTTTTTGGGTTTTGGATTTGGTATTTGGGTTTTGGGTTTGGTATTTGGGTTTTGGGTCATTGGGTTGTTTAATGGGCTCAATTGAAATGATTAAAGTAGCAAAAAATAATATTAAGGTTGAAGGGTTGAATATTTAAAATTCAAAGAAGCTGGGAGTTTGGATCTGGACGGTGGATGCTGCACATCTCCCTTTGATTTTGGATCGGCCGGTTCACCGGTTGAACCGGTTGAACCGGTTGAACCGGAAACCGGAACTCAAAACGGTTCAATGACCGGTTCGGTTTTGAAAACCTTGGTATAAAGTAAGAATCAATTGGTTATGTACGTGTATGCTGCGCTGCAAGTCACTTTTGAGAATTGGTTGGCATCCAAAAATTCTATAATGGAAGCACAGGTGGTGTTGCTATTGCTAGGCTCCATATATATGAATTAACTGCGGTTAAAAAAAATTTAGAAAGTTACTGACCACTTTATTATTAGTTTGAATAGAAAAAATTTGATTTCTTTAAATAACATCATATTTGATTATTGTAAATGAATAAATAAACATTAATAGAGTTTTCTTTTTATGAGATTCGATATGACTTAATTTTAAATTAATTAAAATTTAATGTGATTTTCAGATATTAATAAATTAATATAAAAAAATTAAAAAGTTAGTTTCTTGGATAGGTACTATAATTTACCAAAAATTTTGTAATTAAGAAAAGTAATTTAATTACTCTTGATTTTAAGATAAGTAAGTTTAAAACACAATTTTACTCTTTTAAAATTTGATGGGTATTTTTTTTTTTTGAACAAAATCGCATGAGGTTGGATTCGAACCGTTGCCTTGAGGTGGGGAATGTACTTATACGTAACCTGACGTCACTGAACCCGAAGGCCCAGCTACATTTTATGGGTATTTATATTAACTGTTTAATTATAATTAATAATTAATACCAAAACCAACACTCTAAACAGTAAATTTCAAATGGAATCTTATTTATTTACACACAAACAAATGCTTGTTTGAGGAGAAATGACGAGAAGGAGAAATTAGAAAACGCCAAAATGATCAATTAAGTGGCATGATAGTGGGAGGATGATGATTGGCAAACCTTTCTTTTGGGTCTGGATGGTGATGATCGATTGGACAAGCAAGTCTCACAAGTCATGCGCGAGACTCCAATCCCATGAAAGTTAGACTTGGTAGTGATTAAAATGATTAGCTCAATATTTACTTCCTGGGATACTACTGCTACTAAAATTTCATTACTATAAAGAAAGTGTTTTTTATTTTTTGGTAATCTATGGTGGGGGCAGCTATAATTCATTTGCTTTTTGAAAAGTGCAATTTGGAGAGGTTTGAAAGTGTGGGATTTGTGTATTGGAATTAGAGAAAGGAGACGGCATTCAAAGGTGGACTCTTTCATTATTCCATTCCTACTTGAGTTTGGTCCACACCCATTGCCTTTTTCAGTGACAATTCCAAGTTAATACCTGTAAATCCTGCACCAAATGAGGAGTCTCTGTGTGGTTTGCCTTTTCCTATTCTTCTTGATTATGGAGATGGAAGGAAGGGTTTGGTAGTACTGACCTTTAATTATTATATATAAGACTACTCGATTTGCCTTAATCAATTTTAGAGCAAATGTGTCAACATAGATCCACAAGTACCTAGAAATTACAGTGCCATTCTAGAGCAAACAATGAAATGTAGACATTTTCTCGGAGAAGTGGTTTTCCTAGGATGGTAACTTTTTTGTTTTCCTAGGTAAAGTTATAAAAATGAAGTAACATTGAGAAATTTCTTTAAATTAACATTAATTAGGCCTTAATAACATTAGCCCATCTCCATAATCAAGAAGATAAACAAGATTAATTCATTTCGGGGAAAAAAAAAAAAAAGGTAAACAAGATTCTTAATTTCTGACTGCCAAACAGGCTGACGGTTTTCCAAAACCCAAACGATTAGCATTAGGCCCATTAAATTGCTCAGAAGAATCAGACCCAGCCACACTGGTTGGCACCCATTGGGCCTGTACCGAGTATCGAGCCAAGGGCCCAATCTTAATAAAGCCCAAGCGTGCATAGAAAATGTCCGTTTTGGGTTTTGACTTTTGACCACCGCACTTGGTGAACTCCACGCGTGCCGTGACCTTATAGGAATAGTCATTTACCATGTCCATATTCCGTCACGTGTTCTCAAGTCGACGTCAGCTTCGCCGAGACTTGCGGAAGCCGAACTGGAGAGCTAACGGCGACGTACCTTCCCTTTCTCTTTACGTCTCCAGAATTTGGACTCTGCACTCTCTCCGAAGCTGAAATCTCTCAGATCTCCACAGCCGCTTCCCATCTCCGTGCTATGGCGGTGGCCTTCGCTAGTCCCGAGAGGATGGATATTCCGAGGCAAGTGGACCGCTCTCCTTCCCAATCATCGTCGGACGTTGCCGCCGAAGCATCCAATCTCTCTTGCTCTGCCCACACTCCTGATCGCAACGATTCTTCGAATTCGGATGTCGATGCTCAGGTTGATGCTCAGGTTTCACATATACTACTGAGTTTTATCTTTATTTGATATGTTTGCGAATGCAATACAAGAGCGGCTATCACTTTGTTGAAATCATGATTAATTATGTTTTAATCTTTTCCAAGTGTTTTATCTCTGGAGAAACTAAAGTCATTGGATGATAGGAGGACTCTTATAATTTAATGGAGACCACTGTTTCAAATTCATGTATGATTATGACTCCCAGTTAATACAAATAGTGATATTTGCTTGTACAGTTGATCTTGATGATTTCTGCCTAAGGATTGTTGGCCAAATTGAGATAATTTTAAGGGGACCGATTGAAGAATGAGAATCTAAAGCATATTGTTTGAATCTTAATCATTGTTTTTTTATTGGTTAATTGTAAAATGCAGCTGAATTTCTCAAACATTTAACATTCTCCCTATATCAATTATGGAGGCAAAAGGGATATGATCATATGACAACAAATTCTGTACTATTCTTTTCACAGTTAAAGCCAATGTTGTTAGGGAACCGTTTTAAGTCTTGGGCCAACGTCTTGCTTACAACTTATAAGTGTTTAAGATTAGATTTGATAGATTGTGGAATATGGAATATATATATATATACACACAGAGTATTAGGATCCACTTATACTCAAGTCTTATACACTACACTTACACAAAATCTTGACCATTCATTTCTCCACTCTCAATGGTTGAGATTTATTCACTTTTTTTTAATCATTTTTATTAAAAATAATTATTTTTTTATCTAAAACATCATGATAAATTTCAACAATTAAAAGTGGAGATGGATGGTCAAGATTTTGTGAAGTGTGGTGTGTAAGAGTTGTGGGTAAATGGATTCCTATTCGTATATATATATACATATATACATATATATATATATATATATATATATAAACTGGTTAGTGGTCACTGATGTCATAAGAAAAGCCTCTTAAGAGGCTCTAGGAAATATCTTCATTTTGTGGAAGCTTGATGAGGATGCATACCTCTAGGCTATGTAAGTATGTAAGTATCTGGGCATGAGGTGGAACTTTTATTTATTGTGATATGTGGGCAAATTCCTGGAGAGAGCCAGTGAGGGAGAGAGATGATAGTGGCAAAGAGGAGGTCTTGAAGAGGCTCTTTATGCAACATGAGAGGACTTCATTGTTGAATATTAACTTCAAGTTTTCCGCCATGAATATATCTAGTTTCTTCATAAAAGGATTGGTACTGAATGTTTTAGTTTTCAGTTAGAGTTTTGTTATCCATGTTTCTTTTCTTCTATTTGTATATAAGTGCATTTAACTTTCCATCTCATTATATCATGCAGTCATATTATACAATTCTTTTGCTTTGCTATTATAGCCTCACCTTGCATTAAGGAGTGAAGAATATCGACAATTGTTTCGGCTTCCACCTGAAGAAGTGAGTCTTTAGGCTGTCTGTGATCACAATTATTAGGAGTATTACTTCTTTAAACACTTTTTTTATTTTAAAGATTTCAATTTTTCTTGTAATTTTTGCTGTTAATTTGTACTGTGTTTCTGTTGTTACATGTTAGATTTTGAAAGTTATCTACTGTATTGTTTAAGCTTTTTCTTTTGTTTTTTGCCACAGCTGCTTCTTCGCGATTTCAATTGTGCATTCCAGGAGAGTATTCTTCTTCAGGTAATGAGAATCTATATGATAGCCTTTTCGTTGTTTGGAGTTGCATGGTTTACTGGTTAATTGTCTCATGTGCTACACCTAGTATTATTTGGTGGCTATCATGGATTAGTTACTGCCATCCATCTTCCTTCCAAACCTAAGCTTTATGCATTTTATACCTCATGCAGGGTCACATGTATCTCTTTGTTCATTATATATGCTTTTACTCCAACATTTTTGGATTTGAGACAAAGGTAATCTTGAAACATCAGTTTCCATTCTATGTGCTCTCGTTGGTTCTATTCTTTACAATTGTTGTATGATCTTTTAACTTTTTTGAGTGTCTTCTGTAGAAAATAATTGCATTCAATGAAATTACAAGTGTAAAAAGAGCAAAAATGGCTGGGATCTTTCATAATGCAATAGAAATTTTTGCTGGAGGAAGAAAGGTAGTATTATTATTTGGCTTCATTTGTTATTCTATCTAAATATAACATGTGGATGTTATGCAAAAAATTTGGCCTGAATTTTGTTTTACACTATATTTACAACACTAATGGGTGAAGATCTAAATCTCCTTATTGATATGGCAGTATTTCTTTGCATCATTTCTATCACGTGATGAGGCTTTCAAGCTTATTAATGATGGATGGGAGCAACATGGTAATGTAGCAAAGGCAACGACAGAACAACAGGTGTCTTAGCATTTCAAAGCTTATATGTGGTTGTAATTAGAATTCTATAAAAGGCATCCATTACTTTATCTTTGTATAAGCATGCCTATACATTATCCGTAGATAAAAGGTTAAATGCCAATTTTAATCCCCCATCTTTAGGGTTTTGCACAACTTTCATCCCTCAATTTTTTTTTATTATTGTGCTTTTTTGTTCCCTTAACTCTAAAAATGCACTTTTTTCGTCCCTGTGTTTCTTAATCCGTTAATTCAGCCCTATATGCACATTTTTAGTCCCTGAACTCCTTTGATAGATGAAAAAATGGTCCCTGCATTTCCAGTCCGATATAGTGTTACTCAGATGTCTTTGAAGTTAACTAATATCTTCTAAATTCTTGATGTACATTATACATGCCATCTATTTATACTTAATATTTGAAGAAAGGATATTTTGCTCTAAGTTGTTCGTTATTGGTTTTTTTTGGTTAAAATTGCTAGCTATTGTATATTCTGTGTTAATCACATCTAAAGAGATAGTTATAGGTAAAAAGCACTGGGGAAAATTCCGTCTCTGATTCGAGTTAAGGTCAAAAGGCTATACAGTAAAGCTTATAATGATTTGCTGGTGCATTACATAATGTAATTTTACCTTTACCAAAATTTATTTATGGCTTATATGAAATCCTTGGTTTCTTTCTGCCCTTTTTAGTTCTTGAAACTTAATCTTATTTAAATAAATGTTCAGCCGCAATTTGTTCCCCTGGTTGTTCTAACATTTACTTAATTTACTATAGGAATCAATTCCTGAGTGCAGCAGTCAAGAGAAAGGATTTGTTGCAATTGAAGAGGTCAATACCATTAAATGCCCAATTGATGAACTGGAATCTACTGATAGGTATTCTTCAGACATCTCTTCAGTTGACTGGCCTGTCAATTCAGAGTAGATCTTACTGCATGTATTAAACAGGGAAAAGATTGCTTCCACTTCAAGTGCTTCTCAGGTTACACCTTGTGTTGAAAGTGATGTGGAACAGGATTCTGATCTACCTACAAATACTGACCCTTCATCCTCTGCTGATTCTTGCACTTGGAAGCCAGAGAATTACGATGCACCCAAGGGTTAGTTAACTCTCACCAGGTGTTGACCTTCTTTCTCATGTTTTATACAGTATGCTCACTTCGGTCCCACATTTAGTTTGTTCTTTCTAGATGTTTGTTAATTGTAAGTTCTTTCCTCATTGGTCCAAAACGTTTTTCCTGGACACAAGACTTATTCAATGATTTATTCTTATGTTGCTTTTGCACTCCTTTTGAAGAAAGGATTTTGGGTGATTTTGAGGTATAACCTATTGTGGTGCTAAAGGGGTACAGAAATGTCAGGATCATTTTAACTGTGTTAAACAATGAGGGTTAGAGAAGATTACTGGGGTATAATATTTTGGATGTTGTATGAGTAAGTCCTTAAATGTTTTGGAAGGGCTTGAGGTGTTTTCTTCTGGATGATCTGTGTGAAGTCCATGGGCTATTCTTGGTCTTCTAGAGGGGATTCTTGTTTGATGCTTGTATGTGCATCTCTATCTATGGATGGGGCAGTCCAGGTGGATAGAAGGATTACGGAGTGGCTGTGCGTGTGTCAGAATGTCTCATGTGTGTAATGAATGAAAGATTTGATATACTTATCATGCACTTTAAGAGATAAGATATCTTCAATTCCTTGGATGGTGAGTTTATGTCTTTATGTATGAATTTGAACTCTCATCATACATATATTATGTCATGCTATGTCATTTTTGTTATTGTCTTACGGTCTGAACTGCTGGTATCTCTGATATGCAGTTCCTGAAGATTATACAAAGGTTGCAGAAGCAAAGCTTCCGGTATTAATCGCAAACTCATTCTCATTTCATCTGAGTTCTACCACATAGCAAAACATATTGATGTTGCTTGTTGACTGATTTATTCTGAAATAATTTTTGTTTCATTGATCGCAGATTAAAGTAGAGGAGTTCTTCACTTTGTTTTTTTCAGATGGTGCTGTTAATTTTACTGAAGCTTTTCATAAAAGATGTGGGGATAAAGGTTGTGATTCTTGATCTCATATAGGAAGATCATTTCTGGTTTGTTTTGGTGTTATGATGTTGTAGAGGAGTTGTGTTTTCCCATAACATTATGTTGTTTAGTAAGTGATTATGTTTTTCAGAATTCAGGTGCTCTTCATGGCACCCTCATGACAAATTTGGACATGCCCGTGATGTGTCATTTCAACATCCAATAAAAATGTACCTTGGTATGGATTTTTATATTTTGTGTTTTTCTCCTTTCTACTTGTCTGTTTGATGGATCCTAATTTGGTTCAAGTGATCTGCTGATTTTTACTATTTTTTCCATTTAGTTTTGTCTTTTTCTTTTTCTTCTTTCTTCCTTTCTAGCACTGACCTTATATGTTTTCCATAAGGTGCTAAATTTGGCAGCTGTCAGGAGGTCCAGAAGTTCCGAATTTACAGAGACAGGTTTCAGTTTCTGTCAATCTTTCTGGCATATTGCATTATCTATTAAGATATTGTGCTTCCAAATCATGTTATCTAAAATCCCCTTCTGTTGGTTTACTATTTCTCATTTTCAAGGGAGCTATTATTATACTGAAACTGAAACACTAAATACACTTTGCCCCAAACAGCTAACACTGCTAACCCATTAATCCTTGTTCCAATAAGAATATCCTTAGACTAGGAATAAGATAAAACTCAGATTCTTGGATCATATCTTTCTCGTAGGTTCTTGAGATATTCTCTTTTCTTCTGCTTTTTATGCAACTTGCAATAGTTCTTCTTGTCACCTATTTTATTTCAAAGTTCCTGACATTATGACTTGTACTCTGGACAGCAATCTGGTTATTGAGACCTCACAAGAAATCAATGACGTGCCTTATGGAGATTATTTCCGTGTTGAGGTATGAGCCAGACTTGAGCCATAGCAACATCCTTAAGCATATAAACTTTTTCTTTCTCCTTGTTTCCACTATATGCTAATATGCATAATCTATCCTGAATCCCGATGTAAACACATTAAGCCTTCTTTTTCTGATGAATCTAGCCTCTTAAAATCAAGTACAAAAACATGAAGATATTTTTACATTCATCATTCACTGGTATTTTTACGAGCATGATTGGGGAAAGAACCATGTCTTGTTTCTCTTTATCAGGGGCTTTGGGATGTTGAGAGAAATAGCAATGAATCACAAGAAGGCTGCATCTTGCGGGTATATGTGAATGTGGCTTTTAGCAAAAAAACAATTTGGAAAGGTTTGCAAGCTGTTTTGTTTTCTTCCTTTTATTTCAATGAGCTGATTGCTGTTGTGAATGAAACTTGATAAAAATTGATTGTTGTTTTTGTAGTAGTAACTTTTGTAGCTGTCAAACTTTTCAACCTAATATTATTGCCATGTTTGTGTGGTTACAGGGAAAATAGTGCAGTCTACTTTGGACGAGTGTCGAGAGGCTTATGCAACATGGATAGACATGGTATTATCTTTCTTTCTTCCTTATTGTATGTTATAAATTATATAAACTTGTAATTTTTAGTATCACCATTCAATAATTTTTATATCAACCTTTCAGGCACAAGAATTCTTGAAGCAGAAACCTGATAAAGAAGGTTTGACTGTCACAGATTTAATTTTGACAAATTTCTTAAAGCACTATTTTATGCTCCAGAGGGTTGTTGAATTAGTTAATGCCTTTGATTCAAACAGGTTTAGATCTTGCTGTAAGCTCTGTTCAGAATGACGAACATCAGATGGAAAGAGAAGCTAGGACAGAGGAACCTACCGACAGGTCATCAAATCTTGCAGCATTGCCTGATTCTATGGATGTTAACCAACGGATGGGCAATCTCTTGGAAGGAATTTTTATTGATGCTACATCAATCACAGGTTTTTTGAGGGAGCTTGTGAGGAAATCATATTCATTCTTGAATAAACAAAGTCGTATTTCACTGGTTGTAGCCAGTGCCTTTGTTGTGATCTTCCTAATGCAGGTAGGCAGTTTCCCACTATCTTTTGTTAAGACGTCTTCCCTTCAGTTTGAGAAATATTCCAAGAATTTCATGTTTAACAGTGTTTTTCCTTTTTCCCTCAACATTAAATTAGTACTTTATTAGGTCAATCTTGACTTTAGGCCCAAGAAGCAGTTCTATTTCTGGGGATGAATTAGGATCCTGTTAAGTTTCCTTATCGTCAACACAGCTACATTCTCATTTTACCATTTGAACTGCAGGTGAGCATACTGGTGCTGCTAAACAGACCCCAGCACGTTCATGTCACTTACCCAGTGGAGTACATGGGTGTCGTGGGCAGTGAAAGGTCAGCTGAAAACGTGGCTTGGTTAGAGAGGCGGGTACACCACCTTAAAGATGAGATGTTCATGGTTGAGGCTCGGTTGGAGAGGTTGCAACATGACCATGCAGCTTTGAAAGCACAGCTCAAAGGATTAGAGCATCATAGAAGGCGTAGATAACAGTTGTATATAAATAGTTGTTAGTAGATTATTACTCGCCTAAATTATTTGTTTTCCTGTATAAAAATACTAAAATTGAAGATATATAGTAATGGTTATTCATTCCACGATACGAAATGATACCCAAATTCGTTGATTGACATCACTACTAATACTTACTAGGGAAGAAGATTTCGTAATTTGTCATTTTAATTTTGTTACTGCGTCCCTTTGGGGTCATGGGTCTGCTTAATTTTGATTCCTCGGTCTGGTCGAACGTAGAGCCTTAACACCGGAAATTGAGAAATCTATGAAGAATTATTTTTTTATTATCATCTTTATAGAGTTACTAAGGATTTGTTGATTTAAATAGAAAGAGATTGGATTTTTTTAAATAAGATTTGTAATATGAATTTTGTGAATTTTGAGATAAGTATTGATATAATTTTTTTTTTTGGGTTTTGTTTGGTTTTATTTTTAATTTGGTTGTTTTTTTGGGGTTATTTTTTTTTTTTTTTTTTCTATTTTTTTTTTTTTTTTAATTATTTTATTTTTTTCATTTTCTTAGTTTTTCTTTGATTTATAAAATTTATTTTTTTTATTATTCCTTTAATTGTTTTAAAAAGTTTTATTAAATTATTTTTTTCATTATTTTTTCTTTTTTAATTTGTTTAATTTAATTTGCTTTTTAATTTTCAAAATTTTTTTAAAAAAAAGGTTCATTTTTATAAAGTCAAACCAAGGTTAAAGAGGTGAGAAAGCAAACTCCTCAGTTGTCCTTATCAACCAATGTGTCACTATTTGAACTCTTGTTTATCACATTTATGATCATGATTCCATGTGTTTATTGTTAAATAGTTGAACAAATCATAACTTAAGGAACATTTTAATAATTCAAATTTTAAATTTTTATATTAGAGATTTTAATTTAAATTTTAGAACGAGCGAATAGAGATTTAAAAAAAAATTATTTTTTATTATATAATTTATCATTTAACATAAAAAAAATGTTAAATAAACCAATTAAAAACTGCAAACTCCTTAATTGTCCTTATCAACCAATGTGTCACTATTTGAACTCTTGTTTATCACATTTATGATCATGATTCCATTTGTTTATTATTAAATAGTTGAATAAATCATAACTTAAGGAGTATTTCAGTGGTTAAGAATTTAAATTTTTATATTAAA